ATATAAAGAATAAACGGCCAGTGTCACACAATATATCATTATAGTATATGTTTATATTGCTTTTTATAATGCAACCAAATTGTAAAATGCATTCCCTGTAATACATCTACGGTTGGTATATGCAGATTCTCAAAATGCACATCTCAGTGTGGTACAAGTCTTACTGACAAAAAATAACTTCGTGGGTAATTGTTAGGGATTGATTGTCGGGAAATGAACGGATTCCTTTACTAGTAATGGTATTTTCATATAACACTGTTGCTGCTGTTGCTGCTGTTATAGTGGTTATCTCTAAAAGTATTATAGTTTGCAATAATTAAGTTAACGAATTTCATATGATGAGTATACTAATTGAGATGTTGCATATATAATTGAGATGTTGCATATATGGTCGCATCGTTATGCGTTTGATTAGATAATCTGACGTATATGGCTCGTGTATAACACAAATAACTACACTCCCCTGACAGAACCCATAGTAAAACATGTGAAAAATCTTTATTTTCGTAAGTCGTTATCATCCGTATTTACTATGCAAGGAACAGTGATTTGGTATTGTTTTGAAGCTGATTGATTGTACTTGTCAAAAGTATTAATGGATGTGGAAGGGCAGTATTTCTATTAAGCGGTAGTTCAATGAAGTCGCAGTCTATAGAAAAACGTATAATTATATATATGTAACATTCGACTGTCACTTTATCGAACCGTCCATAATAACGTATTTTAATGGTATCATCATTTATTCCAAAATCATTGTTCTTTGCATAGTACGGATGATAAAGATTTTTTATGTTTTACTATTTGATTCGACCAGACAACTGTGCTCTTGCATGTATATTCGATTGTATTCCATGTTATATGTACCCATGCAGTATATTACACTCTATAACTGTGTATGTGACACGATGAAGACAAGTTTATAAAGATAGCGTAAGCCCAACATGAATTCTAACAAACTCACTTGTTAAACCATTCTCACCAAATGTCTACTCGCTTATCTCCTGATAAAACACCATTTTCGCACCCTACTCATGTTGATATAATGAGCGTAAACGAAGAACAGAATATTATGAACAACGGATATTATACCAATGTCTGTCAAGCATTTTACCCGGATGATAATTTGGACAACACCTTGACATCCTATCCAAGTCAAATGCACGCCCAATCTCATATTCTTCCTTCCGCTACTGCCTTTCCTTTCCCCAACAATGTCGATATGACTGTTACGAATACTATGGACTACAGGAATGCTGCTAGCGACTATGCATTATATCAAGAAACCGCTAATTACCCAGTTTCTTACCATTGTCCGAGTGATATTCACACGATGAACGGACAGTCGAATATGCCGAGTCACGATCAAGTCGGAAACTATACAAACGACTCTTATCCAGCCCCGGTATCTTTTCAAACATTGCTTGGCTTCTCTGCGCTGGATGTTGAAAATAATTATCCGTCAGACCCTGTTATCAACCATTCATCAATTTTATACATTTTTACGCAAATGCCAATGCAAACGTCACTTTCATCTAACAACTCTAACATAATTAATGAGTCCACTAACTCTGGATATGTCGTTATGAAAGTAGAGTGTACTCACTTAGGCAGGATATCAGCTGCTGACATGGAAAAAATATTACCAACACCTCAATAATTAAGAACGAGTCGTATATGTTTGTCTTTGGATGACAGTATGTCTTTTATAGTTTAAATGGCAGAATTTCTTTTTGTGAGAGTGAAGTTTCGTATCAATATATATTGTCATAAATAACCATCATGTTTTCATTAAATTAACCTTTGGACACTGCATGCGCAGTTATCATTATATGTTGGTTTTCATGTCCTTGATGATGCTGCGCTATAGAAACATGGGGGAAAAACCAATCACCGTTTAAACATGTAAAGCGCAATGGAGTGGTATCACAATACTCCTTGTAAAAGGGGATTGATAGGAAATGCCGCATCCCATATCCGATCGTGTGTTGCATGAAATATAAATTAGGAAGTTGTAGGAAATAAAAAATGCAAGCCCCCAGCATATAATGGTGATGGCGTAAAAGCCTCGCCTAACTTCATGTAGGTCACTTATTTTCCTATAAAAGTTTCGCGCACACAACATTGCATCTAATTAACGATGCTGGCGTAAAATAAGTGGCGGTATATGCGTTAAATTAAATGAACGATTAGGTCAATGACAATAGTGTAGAACAAAAATGTGCGTTTGAATAGAACCCATTGTCAAATAATACTTATTAATTTATTAACAATACTGCAAAATACAATATCTACTTATACTTTTGTATGCGCTCAATACTATTTTTTTTTTCCCTCTCGTATATTATCAACAATCACCGAACATGTTATTTGTTCAATACAATTTACCTGTCGTGTTTTGTAAAGCTAATAAAACGAAAGGAGTTCTTTCGATTCGCTTGGAAAACACGGAACTTTGGGGGGTAAAAAAAACTTTAGATTACATGACGATAGCAGATATTAATAGTAAAAATGTCTTAAAAATAATGTCCAGAAATAATACCAAATCGAGTGCACTGTCTTTAAAAATCCATTACTAAGCATTTTACCATAAGGATATTGAGTATATAGTCGACCACAACAACTCATTAGTTTGTTGAGATCTTTAGCTCATTAGGTTCGGAATAACATGAAAAAAATAAATAAATTAGCGTCCAATAAAATGGGGAGTCTGACATAGTCTCAATAGGGTAAAGTTTACAAGAAACTAAAAATTTTATATAAAATTTTTTGTAAAATATTTTTTAAAGCCGTAGTATTCTTCGTATATACCAGTTTTGCTACAATTTTTAGCTTGTTTGAAAACTTAAATAAGGCAAATCTTTTTATTAATGGTCAAAGTGCAAAATAGCATAATAATAATATTCTTAAACATGCATAACAAAATTAAGCATTGTGATACCACTCCATTGCGCTTTGCATGTTTAAACGGTGATTGGTTTTTTCCTCCCATGTTTTTATAGCGCAATATCACCAAATTTACTATTACAAACGAATAAGGCCGATTATACAACGCATTTATTGTATAAAAATAACGGTTATCTATCTAAATCGTAAACTGTAGTATATATTCTAATGGGTCCGTATTATTTTATCGACAATCCTTTCACCGACAGTACATTTCATCGACAATTAACTACTAAAAAAGGATAACTTCGAAATAATGTTGGTGAATATTTGTCGGTGAAATAATTGTCGGTGAAATGATTGCCTCCCATTCTAATATAATCTTTTGATTCTGCTGTTGATATCGCAATTTATACACGTTTTCTTAAATTTTATAGTTTAAAAAATAAAGATATAATTCAACGTGTTACGCGTTTCCTAATATGTCTGAACAAAGATCTTGATTATTATATAAACGACGATTCCTCACTTTCCACAAAGATCATTATCTTTGCTTTATCATTTAATAAACCAGTCTATTTCAAACAAAAAATTATTCCACAAGTTACCGTAATAACAGTTTTAAACACGTCACAGATAGTCAAAATCACTATTTCTCGCCATTGTTTAATTCTGCATGTTGTTTCCCCCCTTGAATAGCTAAATTTTAATCGCTCCTTTCTTTACAAAATCTATTCGTAATGCCACCAATAAGAGAACATGCATCAGCCGAATCATCAAAGAAACAAAAACGTAAACAGCCTAGCATCGTAACTCGTGCTTCGCGAGTAGGCGTAACGAATTTTATAAATGTTATAAAGTCTCTACATCCGAGAGAATCGATGACTTATTTTCCTATAACAAAGCAAACGCTTCAGGAATATATAGACAGCAAACGTAAAGCGTTGATTAAAGCTAGTTCTCTGGGACAATATTTACAACATATACAAGCGTATAACATTGCTCTAGGCTATGGTTGGGATGGAAGCATAATGGATCCTATAATTAAACAAGCTTTGGACGAATTACGCGCAAGTGAAGAACAAGCAATGGACGCAAACAGGGCCGAGTATGAGCATTCAGGTCAGAATTACGATAACGCTCTTGATACCAGTCTTGTTGGAAGTTTTGGTGGAGAGAATGGTTTTGATAGACTACTTGGAATCGATAATAGTGGTGCTCAGGCAACTGCTTTTGAAGACCATATCTTCACAGGGTAAATATAAAAAGAGGTTAAAAACATGCATACCGTATAGTTCCGAAAGTAAGCACCCCCCCCTTTTTTTTTAACTATAGGGGGTGGAGAGCTTATTTTTGGATATGTAACAAAAAATCACAGATATTAATGTTAATCTTGTGTAAATATAAACGGTCACAGTGATTGTGGGGTGCTTATTTCCGGAAGATAATTTTGACAAACCTTAATATCCTACCTCCAGGTCAAATGCTGTCAATGTGAACTACAGGAATGATGCGAGCGGCTATGCATCATACCAAGAAGTTAATTACTTGGATCCTTATCAATTTCCAAGTAACATTGAGACGAGAAATGAGTATACCGAGTCACAATCAAGTTGCTTTTCTGCGTTAGATAGTTATCTGTCGGCGGACCATCATTCATCAATTTTATACATTTTTGCGCAAATGCCAATGCAAACGTCACTTTCATCTAACAACTCTAACATAATTAATGAGTCTACTAACCCTGGATATGTCGTTATGAAAATAGAGTGTACTCACTTAGGCAGGATATCAGCTGCTGACATTGAAAAAATATTACCAACACCTCAATAATTAAGAACGAGTTGTATATGTTTTTCTTTGGATAATAGCGCATGTCTTTTATAGTTTAAATGGCAGAATTTATTATGCTATTTGCACTTTGATCATTAATAAAAAAGATTTGCCTTATTTAAGCTTTCGAACAAACTAAAAATTGTAGCAAAAACTGGTATATACGAAGAATACTACAGCTTTGAAAAAAAATATCTGTCTTTTGGTAATACTAATAGAATTCAAAATGCGAGACTTTGCAAGCAAACCGCCTAATCTTAATTGTTGTCTTGGTGTAAAGTAAATTAATTTACATATACATTACTTGTCACAGATGCATTCTTTTGTTGTAAAATATAGTTTATTGAAATTGTAAGAATTAGATAAAATGGGTATCTTAATAAACCAATTGATAATAACATAGTAATATCTCAAAGATGTATGCAGAGACAGGGTTCTTGTGGAAGAACGCAGCGAGCAGAAAGCAGCAAGACATGTGTTTTAATTCTTCTTTTATGAAGCTACTAAACAGGAGTACAACAACAGCAGCAATAGTAACAACGCATTTATACTGTAACATGGTTTAAATTGTGTTTTCAGAGATTTACTAAACTGACCCCCTTGTAACATGGTAATTCACACTACATTATTCATTAGCGTTCATAGCACAATATAAACAATATAAACAATATAATCGCTATTCATAAATAGGAATAATCATAAGATTGCAGATCACAAATTGTACTCTTAGCTTTGTAATACAAAGCCATGATCATGGGACTATCATTACTGCTACCTTTGTAAAGCAGCAAAAGTATCGATGCATCTTTACAGGGGTACATTTTTACAATTAAACATATGCTATAATGATATATTGTGTCACGCCATTGATATTTTATAACTTACACAAATGGACCAATTTGGACTAATGTATAAAAGTGTCGGAAACTATGGAGTTTGAATCCGGGCCAATTGTAATATTAATATATTAAGCTTTATAATAGTCATATATGTATAAGATTTAGTAATCACAAGTTACTACAGTATTTTTATATTGCATGAGTTAAATCATGTATTGCCACAGTTATCAGGAGCGTAGCTTGCTTCTCCAAAAGCTTTAGCGATTTGAAATTATACGTTTTAAACAAATGATTGGTAAAAAAACTTCCTATGTAAATTTATAAGGGGCTTCCCTGATGTTTGTGATATGATACGATTATGCGTTTGCTTAGCCTAACCAACCGCTTTCGGTTATTTTATTGTGCTATCTGTTATTACTGCTGTTGTTGTTGCTGTTATCTGTTATTGATACTGCTGTTATAGTTGTCCCTAAAAATACTATAGTCTACACTAACTAAGCGAACAAGGTATTGAATATATGGTTATACATCTTGATTAGATAATATTTAACAAACATTATTCGGACATATTATTTGTTAATATGGGCCGTGTATAACACAAATAACTATATGCGTTGCTTAGCCCATCCTAAAACCAACATAATTAGAAACTGTAACATAATTTAAATTGTGTTTTCGGAGATTTACTAAACTGGCCCCCTTGTAACATGCTAATTTACGGTTTTTTGGCACACTACATTATTCATTAGCATCATAATGTCACAAAGTAACAATATAAACAATATACAGTCAAACCTCGCTATTACTATACCGATATTTTCGTTCCGCCAAAAATTTATCGGTGAAGCGGGGTATCGGTAGATCGGGTTTTTTTCTTTTCTCCGATAATATATGAGCGATACGCAAAATATCGATTATCAGGAAGGTGTCAAGCTTTATTGTTTACTTGTATAGACTAATAGTTGCGAATAAAATTATCAATAGATGTTTACTTTTTCTTGAAATAGAGTGAGCCAACAAATCACTTCTTAAGCTCCGAATTTTAAAAAAGTATTATCATAAGCAAACTCAGCGGGTGGGTTGGAAAGAAAGTCAGACAATACCTGTAAACTTTCTAAACAGACTTAACACTTACAGTAGGATGAATGGTCGATTCTTCAATTTCGTCTTCCTCTTCTAAGAGAGAACGATTTACCATAGATACTATCTCATCGTCATTTATATTTTTCCCTTCTATTTCTTCGTCAACGTTCATATAATATTGAGTTTTCCCAGTCTAGGCAATCAATAGTAGATTGTAGATTATTCATTTCTAACTCTATAACGTCGTCGACGTTCAATTCATCAACAGTTGACGTCTCCTTATCAGGTGGTAAGATGTCGGTTTTCCTCCAACAACTCTTAATGGTAGTTTCCGTAACAGCACTTCACGCCTCGGCGTAGTAAGTTGTAGCATCAAGAACATTAACAGGAATATTATTTGAGTTGAGTTCACGAGAAAGATCATATGAATCAGCGATAGTGTGCCTACACAGGGTAAAAGTTTTAGTTTAATTCAAGTGACAAATCAATGGCTTTCGTACTTGCCTTAAAGGATTTAATGATGCCGGCATCGCATGGTTGTAAATGAGACGTAGTGTTAGGAGAGTGAATAGTAATATTAGTCAATTGACTAGGCTCCAGGATCGTGTGTGTCGGTGCATTATCTATGAGTAGAAGAATATGACGTTGTTGACGCTGCATTTGAAGATTTAGTTTTTTAAGATAGTCTTCCCATATGGAGACTTGCATCCACGCCGTCTTGTTCCAATAATATTCAACAGGTAACTTGTTCTTATCGATTTTTTTAAGAAATCGCGGACGATATATGAGCAAAGGTTTAAGTTTTTCAGTACCTGACGCATTGCAACAAAGAAGAATTGTTATACGATTTTTTGATTTCTTAATGCCGATGACAGGATTTAACACCAACGTCCCCGACGGTTCTAACTGCCAGTATAAGCTATAATACACATAATGAACACGTCAGATGAAGGAATAAAAATATGGAGATGTGAAACCTCAGATGCAAACCAGTTTCATCGCAATTAAAAATGTCACGCCGATCATATTCGCGAAGCACTTCACGGAGCTTAATACGCGCTGTTGATCCATTCTCTCTAATGGAGCACTATTCCCCTCCCCCGATTTCACATAAGACTGAATACGGTATCTAGACTTATAATGATCGAACCATCCGTTGGAAGCACCAAATTTCTCAACCCCTAAAAGGCTAGCAAAGTGGTTTGCCTTTATTTTTACATAATAATAATCAAAGTTTCCCACGTGATCAAAAAATAGAATAGTGATTGGCTGTAGCCGATTTATTTCGAAATCTTGTAAAGACGCGGTAGTCGCACTTGAACGTGATATAGAAATGAATTACGATAAACTTAGGCCATTCGTGCATTGAAGATTGAATTATAGTCGGGTTGCGATTTTTTTGTTCGATAAACTTTAATGAATGTTTGATTTATTGAGCGAACGCTTTGATAATGATTTTTCCTACCCAAAACTTCGCCCTACTTTTATATATCAAAATTTGTCATTAGCGAACTATAGCATTGGTTCTTTAGATTCCGTTCTAAATCGAGGTAATGAATTATCAGTATAACGAGTTCATACTACAACAGAACTATAACAAATAACAACTGTGACTTTAGATTTACAGGTTGTGATCCGCACGCTAAGCGAAGATTTCGCTAAAAAGATTAATAAAAAAATATTCATGATTCATGATGAAGTTCAAATAATTTGCGAAAGTGACAGGTTCAGTAAATACATCAAGTTTTTCTCATGGTGGGTGTCCATTCTTTTGTTTACGTTATTTAGCGGAGCTGGCACAGACACAGAGTGTCATTTCTCCGCAATAGGTATCAATCGCCGAAGGAATCATATAGTGGCTAGAAAGTAAATTGCTTCGCAGGCATAAATATCTATAGGGAAAAGATCTAATATGCGAATTATATTTTTCCAAAAATATTTTATATACACAGCATCGTCCCATAGATTATTTTCAAACGCAGTCTTATAATCTCTGCTACAGGATTTCAAGAGAGTGTTTGAAGAGTATATGGTACGGTACGAATGAGTATTTTTAGATCTGATATGTTTAAGACGGTTGCAGACGATGTCAATAAGGAAAGTTATCGAAGCAAAAGCGATAGAAAACTTCTATAATGGAGAAGAAGATCCGATAAAAGAACAATGGTGCAATCAAGTGTTGGATATAAAGAAATACATGAGTATAATGTTGGATAGGTTATCTATGTGAGGCCAAAGAATAGGGAATAGTTATATTATAGCCTTTCGAGGCAGGCCTTGGATCCGACTATTCTCTCCCATGCAACCTCGATAGAAGCATAGGTAGTTAATAAAGTTATAATTCATTGCCGAAGGCAGTCACAGAGTGGTTATTTTTTGTAAATGTTATAATTATTCGCGGCTTATTATTACGTAATTCATACTGGACTTCCCAAAAACATGCAATCTGATTTGATATGCGATTGTTCCACAACGTGATATGCCCATGAAGCGCAGCAAAGATATAAACGCGCACACGTTCTTTGTTCCCTCTCATAATTTGACAACATGCCACTTACCATAGATGACGTTCCCGACTTGTTTTACGGTTCATATGCAAGGAAGCATAAAAATGCGACAGACGACGAGATTATTAAAGCACACGAGGAACAACAAGGTATGCGATGAATACACGTTTATTGAGAGGATAGTTGAAATGCATAGAGCAGAGTCGTAGCAAAGGTTAGGTTATGCGTTATGTAAACTCGTTGCAAAGGTGAACTGGAGGGGGCAAGGGATATATTATTTATGCGTTTGAGTTAAATAGAATAGAGGCAACGGAGGGAGAATATTGGAATGCTGTTAGAATAGGCGCAACAACGTGGTAGGAGCAATGGAGGGAGAATGCTGGTTTTGTGCTATAGTAAAGATATTGTTTCAAAAATGAGACTAGGCCTAACTTCGTTATACAGAGGTACCTTGTTGATAACTTGGTCACAGCGTTCGCTCGTTGCTTGGTAAGGCGGTAGGGACAACTTTTAAAAACCAAATTATAGAGAATGAATGCCATTACGAAAATAATATTATTTGCGCACTGATGACTGTCGACATTTATTGAAAATTATAATAATGCTGATGTAACGAATATTATGGATTTCAAGACATGGAGAAAGTATGTACAATATATTTTATCATTACATATCCCATAATAATACATAATTTCCATAAACGACGTAAAGCACGACAGCCCCGTAAAGAGAGCCGCCAAGCCATGTTACCCACGTCAGTTTGATGATGAATAATACTGATTATATGAATTATAAGTTAAGATAAATCTATAAGCAACCATTTATCCGCTTCATTCCCAACCGTCAGCAGCAGCTTGAATGGCTTCCTCTAAAGACAAATGGAAGAATCTCTTTCCCGTTGTATTTGTTGTCGTAGACTTTTCAGTCTGAGAAATCTGGTTCTCTTCATCCACTCTGGGCTCGGGAGTCAGACCAATTTCAGCACCTGTTGTGTCATCCATGTCTTCGTCAGATTGTTTGTCAAATCCGGCAGTTACGAGAGCACTCTGTATCTGCTCATCCAAGATATTAGCAAAGTGATACTCGACATTGTGAGCTGAATACTTGTTGAGTTCCTTCCTTATATCTATCAAACTTTGTACGCCAGTTGAGTCAATGACACTCACGGCAGAGAAGTCAAACACGAGAGCCTTTAATCGAGGTTTCTTGACATTTTCTGCATCGTCCTTTCCCCCTGCATCATTCCAAGGTCTATCACCAGCCTTCTCGGCATACTTCTGGAATTTACGAGTACGTTTCTTAGCGAGTTCAACAATTTCGTCATCAATATTGTTGGCATTTGTATATACAAGCGATTCATCCAATCGAACTATAAGAACGCCTTCTGGTGGTGGTGTGGTTGTTGTGAACGATGGATGGTCGAGAGGAACATAAACATAGCGGGGTGATACACCATCCGCCGATTTGCCAAGAACAAGACGACCGAGTTCATCGATTCGAGGACGAGCAACACGTAACATGAGGATAAGAAGTGACAACCCAGAAGATACATAGATACCAATCTAAAAAGTTGTAACGCGTAAGTTGTGTAAAAGTTGAGACAGATAAGCAAATAGGGATGATCTACTTACCTCGATGGTGAAGAAAAATGTAAAAACAACACTGCAAACGAAAACGAAAAAGTCCCAAACTATTTCAATGAACAAAATCAATGAGTTATTCTTATGTAAAAGCACAGCGTGGTTGACATTGAATATAAGTGAACTTGAAAACGTACATTGAATAGTATATATATGCTTTACGTAAGTTGGCGATGATATCAAGTCAAGCACGGCATGTACAATGACAGCAGAGAGTCCCGCGCTTGGGATGTAATAAAAGGCGGGAGTCAAGGCATACAAGGCGAGGACGACTAAGATACCAGAAAAGATGCCTGCAAGTGGCGTGCGCACACCAGACGCGGATTTGATTGCTGTGCGTGAGAAGGAACCGGTGGCCGGGTAAGCACCGAAAAATGAACCAAGAACGTTTGTGACTCCGATGGCGATAAATTCTTGACTTGGATTTACTGAAATAAAAAAAAGAGTGATTAATAGATTATTTGCATTGAATGAAATATACGCGTATTAACACTTACTCTTGTAGTCATTTATACGACCAAAACTTTTGGCAATGGCAACATGTTCCAAGAGTAGAATGAGAGTAACTATTGGAAGATGGTCAGCGATCTCGGAGAAGAGTTCGGAAGTCATTGTGGGTACTCCCATATGATTGAACCCAGACGGCACCGTCTTCAAGATAGCAAATGCAGGGGTCTTTTTATTCTTATTTATGAGCCAGGAAATAATCGTGGCGATGAAGACAGCAGTGAAGTTTCTCAAAATGTTCACGAAAAATAAGAATCGCTTGCGTCTCGGAAATTTCTTGGATAGGTGGGCAGTCCCAAATTTCAACGCATAAAGATATAAGAGCGTAAGTACGCCGATGACGACATCTATTTTCGTACGCTTCAGGGCACCAAGAGTTCTTCCGAGTACAAGGAATGCTTGCTTCTTATTGTCAATACCGGTTATACCGAATAAAGGTGCGATCTGAAAAAAAAAAAAAAAAGACCGGGAGAACGACATTAATTGGTGAGCGCTTATTATATGATAAGCCACGTATCTAGTCATATGTTTGGGATATTTATTTACCTGTCCAATGCTTATGGTAATCGCAGAACCAGTACAGAACCCAGCAATAACGGGAGCAGAAATTAATTTTACGATAATGCCAAGTCGTGCTAAACCAAGGGCGAGCGCAAAGACACCAGATATGAGAGCGAACGCCGATGCAATCTCTGAAGCACTATAGTTCGCAGTGCCGATGCTAGCAATTGCCTGACCTAGAACTAGAGACATCACAGCTATAAAATTCGACACAATGGTTAGTCATTCATGTATGGGGGAGCATATAAAAGCCATTGTGGTATTAGTTGTAGAGGAATTATTTACCAGTTGGTCCAATTGTAATATCCTTTGATGTGGCAAAGAATAAATAGATGGATACACCGACAAACGATGAGTAGAGACCATATTCCGGAGGAAGTCCGGCAACTTTCGCATAAGCCATTCCCTGAGGAATGACTACTGCCCCAACTGTAAGCCCAGCAATGATGTCTCCAAGCAACCATGTCAAGTTATAACGACGAATCCATGTAACGATTGGGAATAAAGACAAGAAGTATTCCGTAATGTATCGTGGAAAATCTGTTCGAACATCATCCAATTTGTTCTTGATGGTTGGACGCGGTGCAGTATAGGGTAGGTCAGACATTATTACAAACTGTTTGCGGATCTCTGATTTTTTTAAAACGCGCAAGAAAAAAAAGAGATATTAAGTGAGATAGGCGGGTTGCTGTCAATTTATACTGCATACCGTTAGTAGAAATCTGTATAATATGAAACAAATTAATTTATATTACAAAAGTCACTTATCAACAGAAGAGTAGAGAATCTATATTTTATTTGGAAATTAACGTAGTTTATCTCGACGATGATGCAATTTCTGACCTATTGGATACGGAACACAAATCAAAACAAGTAATGATTGTAAATATCCTAGCCTACTTTGTAATGATCTCTGTAACACAAAAGCACTGATGCATTCCATCTATTTTGAAATTAACAGTAGAATAAAAATTATATATTGCTTACATTTGATAGTTTTTGATTACTCTATCGACATCATCTAGCATATTTAACTAAATTATTGTTATCGAACAATGCAATGTATATCTGTGCTGTGTGCTTGATGTGTGAATGTGTATTGCGTGTGCAAGTGTGTGAATGTGTATTGCGTGTGTAAGCTGCGTGTGTGTGTAAGAGTATGTGCGTGTGTATGTGTATGTGTATGTGTTGTGTGTGTGTGTGTGTGTATAAGAGTATGTGTGTGTGTAAAAGTGTGTGTAAAAGTGTGTGTTGTGTGTATGAGTATATATATGTTGTCAGACATTAATCGGCAATTCTGATAACAATTACTGATAACAATTAGCCACATCAAATCGTGTAGATTCTTGATTGCGTGATTTAGTCATAAGTTTGCGAGATACACACATTTAACGCCGTAAACGGTTTAATGGATGTTCATAACACAGACTTCATGTCGATTTTAGAAGAAAAAGATTCACAGATACTAAGAACGCGTCATGTATTATTAATTAGAGTCTCACATTCATTTCATTTGCTTTATTGTTTATTGTGTATGGGGATTTTTTACAAACCATTCGATCAATGTCTTCCGATATGTTATGTGGCTAAATACCAATAGAGTAATTAAGGGTTTCTTACTATGTATAATGATGGCATTGAGCTTCAGTGCAACCGTTGTCGCTCTTTCATTTTTACCGTAGTATTGGTTAACTATATAATCAATCACTGATGCACAAGCAAAACTCTAATGTCTTTGACTCGCCGGCCATATGTACCGTCTCTACAATAGCGCATATTCCCTTATTACGTTATATCGTATAAAATCTCTTATATAAGACTTTGATGAAAAAATGCCAGTTAAACTTATTTACACTTCCCTTCAGTCATTCATGCCTCGTGACATAATTGTTTTAAAGTTAATCGTGGTACGACTACCAAGTCACCTATTAGAGTTGGTCACACAGTTTATCCATGCAAATTACTTCCTAAATAATCGTTCGTTTTGAGAATGCAACAATCCCAAATAGTCTTGGTATCATCTGGATTATAATTTACTTCTCATATACGTTTGCAACACAAAAAATGCTCCGTGCAAGCAACGGATGTCCGTCTTTGAATAGATGAAACTTTTGAGGGAATAGAAGAAAAGAGCTTGACATTTCAAACATTCATAATTCTTTCAAACTCGGTTTGCTGCGAATTCGAAATCCATTCTACATCAATAGAATGGCTTCATCAATCTACAGATCCGTCGATCCTGCCGTAAAGAGGTTTTAACTGATACACATGGCGTTGGGGCAGCAATAGCTAATCTGTCATATCAGTTGCTGTCGGGCGTTACTGTGGTGTAATCTGCAAAAAGACTGGTTATACTTCCCGTTTATGTCTGTGTCATTATCATAGAAAATTATCATTCGAGGTTCAACATACTGCAATGGGTGAAAGCGGATTTCTTTACGCAAGAGGTGATATTTGCAGCCTTCAAGTGAGACAATGACAATCCATCGGAACAAAGAATTGCAAGCACGACAGTAACTTGACGTGTGTAATGTCGATCTCTACGAAGAGTTATTGGCTGCAACTATGTGATAGGAATTAGCAATAGGGACTTCAATAGTACTCGTTTGTTCCACCGAATACAATCGATTTGTACAAACACATTAAAACAATAGTTACTAATACAATGGTATTACACAAAAATCAATTTTGCCATTAATGGACTTCGTTTTGCGTGCGTGATGTAAATTAAGAACCAGATAATAAGGAACTAATCTTCAAATGATCATATACAATATTTTGCGTAACATCACGACACCTAAAGCAAACGATATGTCACTCAAAAATTACGTGCTTGGAAGTAAAACTGTCCAGCCTTTTGGCGGGAATATTGGAAAGTAATTTGAGGAATGCTTTCAAATTTATTTTTATGTAAATTGCCAGTTTTGAGTTAGATTATACGTAAATGTAGTAACTGACACGTTGGATGAAAAGTTAGGTGTATTCACTATCTAACTATATAAAAAAGTAGACCACTACGAAACTACCCGCAAAAGACTTTTTCAAACTAGAAGCTCACTGACAAAAACTTCTGAGAAAGGCGTTTAGTATGTAAGTAATTGACGTCAAAAAAAGGTAGTGAAGAAACAAGTTAATATCCGCTCTTTAATTCGATATATGATAGTATTTTACAAAGGTTATATGTTGCGTATATATACGTTGTAAAACATCTAATCGCGAACAAGTGTAGTTTTCTAGACAAGCTTATAGTAATAGTTGATGTAAATTTAACATTTTGAAAGAATTCGAAACCTTAAACTTTTCAGAGTTTTTCGCAAATTTGACAACTTTGCCACGACTTCAAATCAACAAGTAAACGAAGGTATGGAACCTGTCAAGTCTGATAACTAAGAACAAGATCAAAAACTTTTTGCAAACGTCCATTTGGACCGCAAACGCCAGATCCACAGACATTGTCGACTCAAACAGACATAACAATAGGTAATTGTTGCATCACTCCTAAATAGCAGAACCAAGAGTCTTCAAACACGTCCTTGATTCTGTTTCTCCCCTAATATTATATGGTACACGCATTGTTATTGCAAGCCATTTGATCTTTTCTATCTCGTTAATACAGCCTCAAGCCGCTATGCTAGTTGGAATTCAAATTCTCCGATTAAACACGAAGAATATATGCTGAATAACAGATACCTGACAAGGAAGTAATTCTGACTATAGTGCCGAGCAAGTTGCATGCGCAAGTAATTTTATTTTAATTGATAAAAACACGTTTAAATTCAAGTGCCTTGATCTGTAGTAAGTCTGTTTCTTTGACAAAAAGCTGACATGAGATTGCACGTAAATAAATTTCCAAGACTATAAATTGAATAAACTTCCAACTATTTGTGCTCATTCTCAATTCTTTGCTGTGAAATGACCGGTTTCAAAAACTTTCCTTAATTTTACATTAAGCGATACTTTTCTAGAATCGTATTGCTGGAATGAATTGGAGCTTTTAGTCTAGACCGTATAAAATATAAAATTACGAGTTACTTTTTCCAAAACCCAACATATCAAATATGCTGCATAGCACATAAACGCCCCCATCAGATAGCGTTTTCCTGTGGTACCAATCAGGTTTGGCGTATGCCCCCTCAACCGTAAAGAGTGTGCACTTAGGACATCTTGTAAACGCTTGCAAGAGTCGTCTTTACATAATACAAGTTACAAATCACGTCACTCACGGCGTATTTGATTTGTGCCTGCTTTGTACGGAGTATTAAAAAAATTTTCCGGACGAATCATAAGTGCATTATTATTAAGTAAAAGGTGTTAACAGTAACATTAATTAGTTACACAATATTCAAACCGTAATTTACCGTTCAATTTTATTTTGCATATACATTCCGACGTCCGAGAAGCACAAGTTTTAATACAATACTTGAGTAATAAGGTCAAATTTGCCAAGGAAATGGAATACTATCATGAAGAAAAGCAAAACATGTGTACAAAGAAGAATTAATAAAAACACTATTACAGAAGTATCCCAAGTATTTTGTCACAACCTCATTAAATTACGCCCCTTAAACAGCTAACGTTGTAATGCGAATAAAATGTTCTATTGTTCAATTTTAAATTGGTTTATCTAAATACTAACTACTAATTGCAAAATTTGTCAAGATGACGAGTTGTGTAAACTGACTGTCTGGAGTGTAAAGTTACTAGGACTCACAAGGGTCTTTGACATTTTCACATACTTGACATTCCCAGAAAATAATGACAAAGGGCAGTTAACCTTAACCTACCAGATGTCGTGCAGCTAGACGCCCGCTTTATCAATATGACTATTGGTCATAAGATCAAAGCATGCCTTAATATTATGCCTATGTGCTACTTGCCTCAAATCCGCCGTGCCTGAGAGGAGAAGGGTTTTTGTGTTTCAGAAGCAGCAGAATAAACGATGTAAGAACGTGACTTAGGTAAATAATAGGATAGTTATTTGGAGTGTCAGGATCGAGGCCTAAACATGACGTCGGCAGTGCAGATGAGCGTACTTGATCGATACTTTGTTAGTAATAGTAGTATGATTTAATAAATACTACTAATGTTTGCTATATAATTCCGATAAGAGAACGCCTCTATGATAGAACATAAATTTGGCTGTCCCGACTGTGTTCTTTTATGGAGGTCCGACTGTACATGTAATAAATAAATATATATATATCCTGAATGAACGTTTAATTTAAAATATAAATATATTAAAGTTATATTATTTAACGTTTATATTCCTATATTACCGTTGCGAGTTTGATAGGTTCGTCTTTATTAAACAAATGCTCTTGGGAACGAAAAAAATCGTTCTCTAATGATCCCAGTGCGTTGTTCATGCGACAGCGATCGCCTCTCGGTTTGCAAGAGGTCGATGCATACAACAACAAATATTATTTCCCACCATCCCTCAAACTTTCTTTCTATTGAGGGAAAGGAAAATGGAAAACCTTTTCATTTGCTCGCGCTATACTCGATTTCGTTAATTCGGATAACACAAAAATGGCATAATACTGTGATAATAAATATATACAAATTTATGCTGTATTGCTCGTTGCCAAACATTGCAATAGATGATGC